CATTGTTTTTTTTATTAATTTAGCATTAAACTATTTTCAGTAGAGCATATAAGATAGTATTATTTTTTTCAGTGTGGGCCTAGGCCCACACTGGGCCCTATAAAGCTCCGCCCTGTAGAATAGGAAATAGTGTAACGGGAGAATTGTTAGGAGTAGATAAATAAGAGAGGAGAGTGATTGATTTTAATCAGTTACGCTGTTTAAGACACTTTTTGATTTGGAAACAAATTTTATGCAATAGTATAATTATTTTGGAAGAATTGGATATTGATACAAATTCTTTGTTGCAAAACGTAAAACTGCAATTATATTTATAAAAAAATGTAGGATGTATGTAAATTAACCTAAAATATGTGTCCTTTAGCCTACAAATTACGTATACAAGTAGAAATTAGCCCTTCAAAATAGCTGCGATAGGCCCAACAAAAACAGGCCGAAAGCACACACAAAAAATAGAGGAAATAATCAAAGTAATAAACGGGTAGCTTCTCCCTGGATTTGCCCACTCACACACAAAAAAACGTAGAGAAAAAGAGAGGCAAACAGCCATGGTTTTGCCCACAGTCACAACACAAGTCTTAGCACAAGCCTGCTCCTCCTTCACCAAAAGGGAGAAAAAAAAATGATAATTAAGAAAATTCAGAAGAACTGGTTGTAATTATGTGACTAATTAATTGGCAAAAATCATTATGATTGTTTTCGTCAGTTAACAAACAATCAAGGAATATCACTTGCGAGTTGTTCCACATTGATTTTATGGAAAAATATGAGAGCCTAGTTGGCTACTCCTCCCATCACCAATTGGTTTTGGGATGGAACCTCACTGAAGTACACCTAAGCTCACCCTCTTATGGTGCGCTTTATCTGGTGGAACCGCACGCTATTTCCCGGTTCTAATACAATATCATAAATGAAAAAAATTAAACTTCATGCTAAAAAAAAAAAAGATTAATTCAATACACAAAATGATGAGTAATGACCCTAATATTGATCATCGCAATAATAAAATACTGAAATTACACTTCCTTTTTTATCTTCTGCTGCTCTTTAGCAACTTCCACGTAAGACTCAGTCCTCCAAAACATGACTGAGTTTTTTTTTAAAAAAAAAATAAGAAAAAAATCCTTTTCTAGTGTATGTAGACTATTGACCATTAAAAATTGACCAATACATTGGGCTTTTAAGGAAACCAATATATATAACTAATAACTCTATCTCATACTAGCTTAGCTCAAACATCAGAATTTCCATTTCCATCTTCTCCATCTGGTCCATCCGTATATTGGGAGCGGAGCTTGAAAACCCGTGCAAACGGCACCTCCGGCGACAAAGGTGGGTTGGCTAATTCGGGCTGAGGAGTGTGTGGTCCGGTCGATGGCTCGGTGCTGAAATCGGGAGGGGAGACTAGCAACTGTGCGCGTGTGTCGTGTGTGTAGTGTAGTGGATCGTTTGTGATCAAAGCCGACAAGAATATGGTAGGCGGTGATGTGGCAGGGGAGCCGAACGACGCGGGGGAGGAAGGTGGGGCCACCACAATGTTGTTGTTCGGTCGGATTCTCGTGTTGTTGTCTGAACCCAAACACCAGCGGTAGGGGCTCCACCAACGCCCTACTACTACAGCCCATCTTCTTTTCTGATAAACGTAAACAACGTTAACTAGGATTACATTACCAAAATATGAGCACATTTATTAAAGATGATATGTATTCTCACGCCAAGATTAATTTTTATCTAAACAAACTCATATCTATATATATATCAACTACTAACCCCGACGGGATTTGTAACCATTAGATTATCATGTAACTGTTGGGAATAATTGCTCTAACTGTTACGAACCCCGACCGAATCGTTCCGTAACGAGAACGTAGCATCTCCCAATAATATATATCAACATTGATTTCGAATAAATACATATACAAAATAATGGGTTGATATAATAATATCGTGATGTTTTGTTGTATTACCTGAAGCGGAGCATGGGGAAGGCGGTGGTCCAGCGAGGCAACCGCAGCAGCAACGGCGGCAGCGTTCACCGTCTCCGCCGCTGCAGCGGTTCCGTTTGTTCCGCCACTTGTCATCATCATCTGACCTCCACGTGTCACACACACACACTACTTAACAAATATCTTTTGAAACTGAAAAAAACTTCCACACACCGAACAACCAACATTCGATCAACTCCGTTATTTATAAACAACATCGATCGGTTAAGATAATTAGAGGCGTTATGCAAAAAATAAAATTAAGAAAAAAAAAATAAAAAAATACGGTGACAGCTAAATTGTGCGCGTGTGGGTGCTGAAAACAACACTAGAAACACGGTTATGGCGGCGAAAGCGACTTTTGTGTCCGTTATGGAACCATTAATTCCGTCAGAGTTTGTAATCGTTACATCAACTATCCCGACGGTTACAAACTCCGACGGAATTATGTTGTAGGGCCCAGCTTTATTTTATTATTTCATATGTATTAAAAATATAAAATAGATTAGTTCGGTAGAATTGATAAAGGATTATAATTTGTTGAGGGCAATAGACTTCGTCGCCCGTCGGTTTGTGTGTGTGTTTATTATAATTAGTGCAACACTTACAAGATTCATCAAAAGAGACAGATAAACAAAATATAATAATAGTGTGATTTATTATTTATGTGGGCACACAAAATCCAAATTAAGGGAAATGTTGCGGTCCCGTTACGGAACCATTTTGTCGGGGTTTGCAACCGTTAGATAATTTATCCCCGACGGTTACATTATAATCCAACGGTTACAAACCCCTACGGAATGGTTCCGTAACGGAACCGTAGCATCTCCCTCAAATTAAAACCGGTTGGATATTTTTATGAAGAAGTAGAAGATTCAAAGGGTGCATATCGGTGCCTTAGTTGGCACTTCTTTATTTCTAGTGCACAGTCTATATTTCCATAATGCACAATTTACATTATTAATCAATATTGATTATTATAAGTTGCATATTTTTTATGTTTGAATTTACGTATTTTCGTAATTTTTTACATATGCAAAAAGTACGTAAAAGCTAGAGTACGTAGAGCTAGTTTGTTAAGACTCGGGTCCTACTCGACTAAACGAGTATGCTTAAACTCATTTAAGAGCTTGTTTGGTTAACGAGTTGAACCGAGTTAATAATCTTGAGAAATAGAGTTTTCACTAATTTTCTAAAGTATGAAATTAGCTCGACTTGTTAAAAAGCTCAAGTACAAATTGAAAAAAAATAAAATATATAAAAAAAAAAGCAAATACCAACTTGAGTTCATTCATCAACTCAATTGTGTTAATTCAAATAGTTAATGAGCTCAACTCGACTTGATAAAACATCTAACTAATAAGGGACTGAAGCCTGAAATAACTAAACTTTTATTAGGTTTTAGGGGCATTTAATAAACTATCACGTCCTCAAACATGCGAATAATCGAACACAATGACAAAGCAACGTTCGGATCAAAGTAAAATCGCATGATTCTCAACACAACTCCAATTATGTAAGCAGCATAGAGTTCCAAAAAAAACACGTTTTTCTTTCAAAATAAACCAAATTCATGAATTAATCCAACTTCTGTAGAATGAGTGACGATTTGTCAATCAGCCAAACTCTTGGAGGCTATCTCGAACACGTTCTCAGACAGCCCATTCGCCGACAGGATAATCTCCAGCTGAGCCTGCACAAAATCGTTTTGCATTTACCAATTTATAACGATTAAAATCTTGATATATGCGCAAAGGTAGGATGATTGCAAGAAATAAAGAGGTTCGATTTAACCACATTTTATAAAAAGAAAAAAAAAAAAATTACTCTCTTCCCTTGTGTGTGTGTTCCTATTTTATGAATTGCACTCACAAAGAAGCATTTCTTAAAATAAACACAAACCTCCAAGGAATTGTTTGTTGATCAAGGGTGTACAAGTATTTGTAGTTTCGAAAGATAAAAGTAGTAAAACTTGTTGATAAAAATGTCGTGAAAACAGCCTTTTTTTTTTTTTACCTTTGCAAGATTTTGGCGGGTTTCGTCATAACGCTTCCATCTAGAAAAGGCTGACACCATCCGAGATGCCACCTACAGTCGACGCATACGGTTCTCAGACAACAATACATAGACATTATCGCCCAAAAAAAAAAAAAGAAAGAGAGAGAAAAATAAACAAGAAGCTCTCGTCAAGGGTACCGGACCTGAGGATTCAGCTTGTCAAGCTGTACAACCATCTCACCCAAAAATTTGTAGCCTGACCCATCTTTGGCGTGGAAATTGACAGGCGACCCACAAAATCCTCCAATTAGCGAGTACACCTGTTAGCAGATAAAAAAATTAAATAAAAAAAAAAAAATCAATTCCTGGTATATTGAAATGAGTTTTCTGGTAGAGAGGAGAATGTGTTATGATTGAATACAGTTTACGAACCTTATTTGGATTGCGCAAGTCAAAGGCAGGATGATTCAAGAGTTTACGAACGTTCTCGACATTGCCGGGTATATCAGACATGGCTTGCAGGGCAAACCATTTATTTACCACCTACACACAAATTTATTCACTAAAATTTAATATAAAGTTGTAAAAGAGAAGCCAAAAAAACATGCAAATGTAATTTTATGAAACTAATTAATACACATTTGAATTACAAAGGCATTTCATGCTTCTCCACCCATTTGCCTTCAGTGGGGCTTAAATGCAACAAACATTAAATATATGAAAATGCTAATGGGATGTGCTGATATATCATGTGAAATGGGTTATTCCAGATTATATTTTGCTGCTGACTAAAATTATTTGAGAAATGACAAAATAGTACAGAGCCGAACATAGGCAATTACCAAGAAATCATGCTGCCACTTTTTATAGAAATCAGCCAAAACCTCATCCCGAGTTTTACCAGGCTTCTGATTAAGAGCCGCCAGGGCAGCAAATTGCTCGGTCATATTCGTGGCAATGTTGTATTCGTGCAATGCCAGCTGAGTTATCTCTTCATCTTCAATTGACCCAAGATAAGCTGCAAGGAAGCAAAAAAAGATAATTAGTTAATCGGATTAATAATGTAAAAAAATATCAATGCAGCAGAATTTAGAACAAGAGGGGAAAAAAGAAAAAAAAAAATGCAAGTAAAAATACCCAGAGCTACGTTCTTAAGAGCACGTCGGGCCATGTTTGGATGGTCAAAGACATAAGCCTCTGAGCTTCTGTTACTTTGAACCTGTGATGCATGTCCGACCATTATAAGAACAGATGGTTAACATCTACCGGAGTAAAATGTGGGCAAGTGACACTAATACAGTATCTTACAGTGTGGAGCAACTCTGGTGTCAATTCAGAAGCAAGCTGCTTTCTGATGAAAGCTCTAACTGCATGAACAGCATCGGGGTCGGCAACTTCCATCATGTCCATGATTTCACCTTCGCCAGGTAGAGTTATTGCCTTGGCAATGAATTCCTTAAGGTCCAATAAGGATTGAAAAAAAATAAAATAAAAAAATTAGCATTATTGCCTGACAATATGACACTTATATTTAATGATAGGATTTTGCTATTGTATACATAATACAGTGTAGATGATGTTTTACTTACAAGGGTGTGGATCCATTTATTAAATAATAAGTGGATACAGCGCCCGTAAAACCATTATTTATTATTCGTATTTATAAATTGTACCTTATCCAATTTCGAGTCACAAAGAATGCTTTTAACTCCACTCACAAACTGCGGGTTGAGAACCAATGGTTTATTTTGCTGATAATCCGACACTAGGCTGAGCATCAGCTTTCTAGCCAAAACCTGCCCGGCCTCCCACCTGAGGCAATATAAAAGTGATGTTTAGACTCTACGTATCGTTATATCATTGTTTAGGGAGTTTCAGTGAACACTTTATAGCTTGACGGAAAAAGTCAATGATTTATTTAGACTAAAAAGTAATGTGTCGTTATTTAGAGAGTATCAGTTAACACTTCAGCTGCTTGAAGAAATAAACGATTTGTAATTCACCCAAATTTTAAAGCACCCCTTTCCTACTTTCATATTTTGACTATGCTAAATAAATCATAAGTCCACAATACAAAAACCCAAATTAAGAAAAAAAAACAATCTCTTTATTTCTACATCCACATACCGATTGAATTCATCCGAATCATTAGCAAGGAGGAAATACAAATCAGCATCAGTAAGATCTGAATCCAAACGAACAGGAGCACTGTAACCCCTCAGTATAGACGGCACAGGCCGCTCATGAACGTCATTGAAAACAAATTCTTCTTCTTTCTACTCACGGTCAACAAATACAATAGAAAAGATCAATACAAAATGCAAGCAGCAACAAATCCATTCCAGAAAAGATAGTTCATGTTTCCATTTAAATTATCACAAAAATATATTGCTATTACTTCAAATAGAGTACTTAATAAATGAAACAACAAATAGAACAGGGTTATGGAAAAAATTAATAAATAATTAGAGCATTTTTCACTCTGCCAATAAATATGATTGTGTTTTCTCAAGTTGTGCCAAATATGCCATAAGCCCACCTTTTAAGGACAGATGAAGTTTACCCTTACAAAAGCACCACCAAAAGAGATAAATCACATAATTGTCAGCTCACAACATAACAAGACGTTATAAACTTAAGTCACTTCGAGAACTGTAATATGAAATGTAAAAGGCAAACAATCAAGGAAATTAGAAAGAAAAAGAAACAAAATAAAATAAAATTTCAAAGTAACATTAAAACAACCTTAGTGACCCTGAGAACTGTAGTATAAACTGGTTGACAATCTTTGGCGATTTCAGTCAACTGTCCATTATGGTATAGAGACGAAAGTGGAATGTCTTTGCCATTGGAATCGAGCAGACCCAAGGCTACAGGGATAAACATTGGCTCTTTCACTGGCTGCCCAGGGGTAGGGGGGATCTCTTGGCTGCAAACACAAATTTGCATTATTGCCGTTTTATATCCAGTCATCAGCAAATAAAACTCTCCATGCAAAATATATTACCTGAACTTAAGAGAATAAGTCTTAGTTTCGGTATTGTATGCAGTAACAACCTTCAACCGAGGTGTCCCAGCTTGCGAGTACCTGCATTTTTTCGTTCAAATAAAAAAGCTTTGAGCACCAAAAGAGAGGTAAGCTCATAGTAAGTCTAATCGGCAGTGTGACAACATACCATAACAAGAAGTTGGCAAAATCAGCACCGTTTGCATCTCTCATGGCTGCAAAGAAATCTTCGCATGTCACGGCTTGCCCATCATGCCTCTTAAAATAAAGATCCATGCCCTGAAATTTTGAACTAACGATTGTTAGACTTGTACAAATATCACGGAGGTCGCTAGGAAGGAAGAAATACTTGTGCAATCATGGAGGTCGCTAGGAAGGAAGAAATACTAAAATGCATAGTTCGAAAGCTCAAATAATTGATTTTTCTCTCACCTTTCTAAATCCAGAACTATTCAACAAGGTTTTATACATCCTTACAACTTCAGCACCCTAAATCAAAAGGATTGATTTAGTTAAGAAAAATCATAACCATATCAATATGCACACAGTGCCACCCCTTAACCTCGGAAACTGTAATGGAAAAAATGTGAATAGAAAGAATAGAGAACTAACCTTCTCATACACCTGCCGTGAAGAAAATAAAACAAGGAATAAGATATAAAAGTTAGTCATAAATTTAGAAAAAGAAAAGGAGCTAAAAAAATGACTGGTCGACGACATACCGTCACTGCCATTTAAGATTCATGGCCGACGATCAACATCCAGGGCATGAGAAAAGTTGAAACCAACAGTGTTAACATTAGGTTTCAAAAAGAAATGCAAATTATAATTTGAAAGTTGCAAGATATGCGTGGCAATTTTTCATTCTGATCAAAGGGACAGGAAAAAAAAAAAAAAGGAAAAGGCTCTTACCTGTATAGAAGTTATCCATCTGCAAAGGAATATATAAAACAAAAAATAAGCACAGATTCCAAACTTCTAAGAAATCAGGTTATGATTCACGAATTGAGCAGACTTCATCAATATGGACCTTAATATAAGAGTGAGGTCGCACAGGATGAGCCATGGGACCAGAATCCTGGAAAAATAGAAGCAAATTAAGCATTATCAGGAAACAATTAAGCATCCAAATGGGTACACAGTTTAATTTAAATTAAATTCCTAAAGTATAATACGACTGAAATATTAGCATCTCAATGCATGGAAAAACACCACAACGTTACTCAATTCACACCTGAGGAAATTGATAAATTCGAAGCGTTGAAACGTCAGCTATTCTTTTCACTGTACGGCTCCCCAGATCAGAAGAAAACTCCTGCAAATTATACACAAAAATTATAAGTCGGGTTGAGTTAATATTGCCAAAATCTTGAGGTCTAGCTAAAATGACTTCACCTGATCACGGAAAACAGTGAGACCTTCCTTTAAGCTAAGCTGAAACCAATCTCGGCATGTAACTCTGTTATTTATTGAAGTGTCAATGATACTTACAACTTATATACAACTTCAAGAAATACAAGATTTCAACAGTAATGTAAAAGAAAATAAACCATTTCACAAGACAAACTTTTCTGAGAAGCTCTACGGCTCCTCATAAATCACAAACCACTATATATAGGCAGCAAAATATAGAGACTAAAAAAAAACATTGAAACAAGAAAGTAGGCCAACCTGTTTCCTGTCCAGTTGTGGAAGTACTGCAGACAGAGAAAAAAAGTCAGCACCAATTTAATGAATAGCCCACCTGGAGAGTGGAGTGGAGATAAACCGAAGTTTCAGAAAAGAAATACTAGAGTAAAGACAAAGAACCTCATGTCCAATAACACCCAAAATTGCAGCATAATCTGCATCAGTTGCAGTTTCTGGAGATGCCAAGACAAGTTTGGAATTGAAAATCTAAAAGGAAAAAGGAGAAGAAAATAAAAATAAATCATAAACTCAAGAAAAAAGAAGTATCAATATAAGGTACAGTGATCATAATGTTGACTTAATTCATACATTCAGACTTTTGTTTTCCATGGCTCCCCTGTCAATCAGAATAGAACAAAACACCATAAGGAATCTGAAGGAAGAAAGTATCTCTACTCATAAGAAAGAAAACAGGCCTCTTTGGAGGTTGAACTTTGAACTAACATGTTAAAATCTGGAACAGCTACAATGTTGAAAAGATCCAGGTCATACTCAAGTCCAAAAACCTGGTTAAAAAGGCAAAATGAAATCAAACAATAAACAATTGAGCAACTATAATGAAAAACGAGAATAAATTCACGAGAAAAGTACAAGTGGTCCTTACATCTTCATCCCATTTCATTGCAGCTTTCAAAGAGTACATAGCATGGGCCGTCTTTGGGAGATCTTGTGCGGGAGTCCAAATTCTAAGTAACACCTTTCGGCCCAAACGAGTTGTGAAAGTATCATCACGGCTCACCAATTGCCCGGCAACTAATGCGAAAAGATAGCATGGCTTCACAAAAGGATCTTCCCATACTGCATAATGCTTGTTTCCCTGCACTCACTCGGAAAGGCTCTCATACCATATACACACAAGACAAGAAAATAATGTTCTTGAAAAAAAAAAAAAGAAGAAGAAGAAGAAGAAGACAGAAAACAAGTGAAGGGGCCTCACATCCAAGTCTCCTTGCTCTATAAGATTCCCATTAGATAACAGTACCGGGTAAAGTGACTTGTCACCTTCAATGCGACAAGTGTACTTTGCCATGATATCCGGACGGTCCTGAAGTTGTCATCACATATTAACAAAATGTCTTTAAAAATTCCCAACTTAAGACACCATTCACAAATACATACCTGATAGTAAGTAATTTTCCGAAAGCCTTCTGCTTCACATTGTGTGCAGAAGTTCCCTGATGACTTGTAGAGCCCCTGCAGTATTCATTAAATTGACAAAAAATAGCTATAGTTGTACAGTTTTAAGATCATATATTTGTAGGTAAACACGAGATGTATTCTGTATAAATGATCAAATGGAAGACAAAATTTCGAGTCAAACCTCCAAAGAAGTGTTACTCTGAGGGTGTATCTCAGTTACAATCTCCAAAGTGAATTTACCAACCGGGGGTGAGGAAATAGTTAGGTGACGTGAGTCTAGGTGGAAATCACCATCCTGCAACAATTATTTTTAACTAGTGAGCATTACCAAGTACAATAATAAACAACTTAATAAGAAATAAAGATAACAGGAACAAAAAGTAATATTAACAGTAGAAGAAGCAAATATAAAGGAGATATACCTTCAACTCTTTACTGTTGGTCTTCAGAGAAATCAGTTTCAGATCAACACCATCCAATACTAGAGGTGAAGAAGAACCTGCTCATGATGATAGAAAACTGTTGACATTATTTCTAAGACATTTTACCTATCATATATAATTAGGAGTCTTGAGAGTTGAGACACTGCATAGATTTAGCTGGCATATGTGCACATTAATTTAACAGAAAAACTTCACACAGAAGTAGATCGTGTCCATTCTACGCTGAAGCAAACAAGATGGAATACTCATTTGATATGAAGGATAAAAGTAAAATACCATTATAATTCAGTGGTTGACTCTAGACACTGAGATTGAAGTAAAATGCTAATATCAAGCTATATCAATCACAAATCAGTCAACCATTCCTTATTTCTTTCAGTCATCTGCTCTATAAAATCTAAAGAGTAATGTAATCTTAAGACCCCTCCTTACATGTCACATCAAAACTGACAAAGTTAACAAACAAACACAACAAATAAAAGACCCTTGAAATTTGTTCAGTGTTCACTTCCTGCCTTAACAAAAAGAAAACAGATGGACACTAAGAAATATTACAATTGCATGACACGCTAAAACCTGAAGGAAAACAGGAAGAATAGCGAAAGTACCTTCGATCCTTGGATAGACAACTATCTTTGAACTAACAATTGTTTTTTCCTCCCCCAGTGTGAAACTAAGATCCACCTAAGATTCAAGCATATTTTGCAAATATCTGAGACAAGCAAATAATACCAGATATAATAATTCAAAATCAAGACCTTTATAAGATACTACCTTCTCAAAGAAATAATCAGGTTGCTTGTAATCCTTCAAAAAGATCTCTTTGGGTGCATCCATATCAACTTCCTTTGCTACTGGTTCTGTTGCAACTGAACAAACAAATCTCCGGGAAGTATTTGTAAGACTCTAAAGTACAAATACAACAAGTGAAAAGTATAAGTTACAGGAGATCATGATGTTATAATTTCAGGAATTTCAACATGCTCTGAAGATGAATCAATCGGCTTACAGGCAGCGAGTGATATGGTAATCGATATTTCTTCAAACTAGTAGCCTAGTGCCAAAAGTAGATTGACACATATCAGCAACTAAAGTTGGGAACATCTAAAACAAGAAGAGTAACCCCTACTACAACACAAACCTCAGAACTGAAGAATTGCCGGTGCCCCCTAGTAAGCTTCACGGGGTGTCCCCTAACCCGACAACTTGCGCGAAACTGAAAAATTATACAAGACCTCTAAGATATTATGCAAGAAAACATTCATTCTGGATAGTTTAGTGCCTTCAAAATGTCCAAAAAATATTGAGAAGCTTTGCAACTACAAAAGCCCAATTAAAAACTATTTTTTCCTAAAACCCACATGACCAAAACATTTTATCCATAATTACAAACAGAACAATAAAGGCCCCAGCTTTCTATAACTCAAGAAATCAATATTACAGGCTACAGATAATAAAGGGAATAAAATTATAGAAAAGTGGGTTTTGAGTAGTCACGGGAGCGTAGGAGACAAAATCCCTGAGGCACGTCTTTGACAAGCTTGAGACTTTGCAATGCAGAACCAACCGAGACATCACAATCCCCCCAACTCCTAAACAAATTTCTTCTTTTAATCCAAGGGAAAAGGCAATACCTTGAAAAAGTTCGAACTTTTATTACAAAAACCTGATTTATTATAGTACTAACGTTAAAGAAACTTCAGCCCTTATCAAAAAAAACGCAAAAGCTGGCCTACTCTACAAAGAAAAGAACTTGAAGCAACTCAAATCAGCGAAAAAGGATGAGGACCCATGTGACAGAGACTGAAACTGGGCTGCTATAAGAGTCGCACATAACAAAAGTACGGATAAATCACGTTATCTAGACGAGGAAGGTCCAACTCCAACCATATAAACAAAAAAAAAAATCAAATTAAAGGGTTAATTAATGGAATTATGAATTAGAACTCCATAATTAAATGTCTTACCTCTCTGATATGAATGATCAAATCAAGGACGGCGACGCAACACAAAAGGTTGGATCTGTTGGAAAGGAAAAGAACAACCAAATAAGAAGAGTGGCGTGAATCTATAAAATTGGCCCAGCAGAAAAAAGATCTAATATTTCTTTTCCTTTAGTACCTTTTGAAGTTTTGGTAAGCGTTATTGCTTATTGGCTATTGGGAGGTAATCGCGGTGCAATGTACTATTATATTATCTATCATGTAACCGTTATATATATATATATATAGTTGATCTAACGGTTATAAAGTTCGACAAAATGATACCATAATTTCTTCTAGATAGATGATGCTATTCGTTGAGATATTTGTTTTTTTTTTCATATCATATATAACAATTAACAAGATATAGGATGTGTTATTTTATTATTTCTCAATTAGCAGAAAAGATTTGGCATTATGCTATTGTATATGTTTCCAAAATTTAGTGGGCATCGGTAGTAATTGTTTATGGGCCTAAAAGTCCAAAACCTTGAGGGTTTGCAATCCTAATGTTCTCTAAATCCTTGAAATATGATTGGATATGGAATCCATAAATTATTTAATTTTAACTAAATTATTTTTTTAATAACTTTAATTAAATCTCAATATACTCAATATATTATCAATATAGTTAAAAAATATCGATCATTCATTCTTACACATCACATCAAATTTAATATAATATTCTTCCATTCACATAATTTTTACTAATCATCATTTCATATTGGCTGCGTTTGGTTTGCAGCGTTTTGGGCCAAAACACTATAACAGTTGGTTTGACCAAATCAAAAAGCTATTAATAATGCTTGGTAAAACAACTTTTTTACTTGGCGAATGGGAGAAAAAGCTGATATTGGAAACGCTAGACATTAGAGTGTTTCAACTAGCATTTTACATAAACACATTTTTTTTATGATTTAACTCATTTGATACGCATGTTGATTTGTGAAATTAATTAAATTTTGAGTTTATTTAGCATAACCTCAATCACATTTTATTTCAACAAATTACTTATTGCAACAAGATATAAATCAAACACATTTTATTATTATTAATCAACTTTTCAAGCCAAGGATAAATGGGCATAATGTTTAGTCTCATATGATACTTATATTATCAAAATAAATGCTAAAGCTTTATATTATTCAAACTCGGGCCAATCAATGTTCCGGACTGACCTCTCAATCATTGGGTGTCTTTTTTTTCGAAACGATAGATGATAATAAACTCGAAAGGAAAGTTTTTACAGACCGCGGGTTAACTAACCCGAATACAGAACCTAAAAAGGCTGAGAAGGCACCAAGAGGTGAAAAAATGGCAAACAAAAGCAGAAGTGAAGATCAAGCTTTGGCAGTCTAACAAGGCTGAGTCCAATAGCTTGAATCTACCTTTCCGGGCCTAGCAAAACTAAATGTACAAGGCACTTCAAAAAGAGCACAACCACTGCACCAAATGGGCCTAGTGTAACTCTAGCAAAACCAACAGAATAAACAAAAAAACAAAAAGGGACAAAAGAGACTAAGAAAGAGGGGCCGACCAGTTGAACTTCTGCCATTCTTTGAGCGCAGCATCCACAGTGGATTTAGCCGGTCTCCAAATGTTTTTAAAGATCCATAAATTTCGTGTTTTCCAAATCCACCATAGAATATATGTCGAAAGTTGGATTCTATGTTCTGAAATGGTGGACTTGTCAAGTGAACAAATTTTCCCCCACCAAGCTTGGAAGCTATCTGTTTCATTGATTAGACCATCCCAAGACACAGGTGATAGTTTCCATATTTCTTTCTGGGACAGGAGAAGAAAAGGTGTTCGATTGTTTCTGGGCTTTCTCCACAACTTGCACATGTGCTGTCAATGTCCATACCTCTTTTGACCAGGTTGCAACTAACAGGTAGAGCATTTTGAAAAATTCTCCATATGAAGTGTTTGAGCTTCCTTTTAACCTTGAGGGTCCAGTTTCTTTTCCTTGCTGCTGTGATTGATTTTTGAATACTACTGCCTTCTGGGAGATCAAGCTTCCTCCATTTTTCAGATATTAGTTTAGTGTAGGAAGAAGAAACTGAAAACTTGCCATTAGAAGCATGGTCCCAGAGCAGCCTGTCAGGTTTTGAAGGATCTAGTTCTTTGATGCTGAGGATTGCTGAGATTTCAGTGGGGTTAAATAATTCCTGCAGCAAATTCAAGTTCCAGTGCCTACCTGTACAGTCCAGCAGCTCTTTTATCCAAACAAACTTCTTATGATGATCACTGGAGCAGAGAGGCCTAAAGTCTGGGATTGATGGAACCCATGGATATTCCCAGATTTTGATGGAGGCACCATCCTTGACTTCATATCTAAATCCCTCATTAAAGTTGTCCCTTACTTGTAGCCAGCTTTGCCAAAGCCATGAGCTGTTATGCTTTTTCTTCACAGTAAAGACACTCTCATTGGGAAAATACCTGCTTTTCATAAGTTTGCTGACGAGGAGGTTCGGCTTGGTGAGAATTCTCCATACTTGCTTGATGATAAGGGCTTTGTTGAAAAGATGAATGTCCATGAAGTCCAAACCTCCTTTGTCCTTGGGCAGAGAGAGCAGATTCCATTTTTTCCAGTGAATACCTGTCTGTTGGTTAGCTCCATTTTTCCACCAGAAGTCTGCAAGCACTTGAGTGATTTTTTTACAGAGAGCTTTAGGGATCAGAAATGTTGACATGGCATAAACCGGCAGTGCTTGAAGCACAGCCTTCAGCAAGATTTCCTTACCTGCAAGAGAGAGGTAATTGTTTTTCCAGGAGCAAATTTTTTTTTTTT